TATATAGAAAGCTATCGTCGGCCATTTTAGAAGGTTGTGATAATAACCGGTACTAGCGTTTTAGGGGTTTTTTAGGTTTTTAGTCTCTAGGTAAAATAGCGCTAGGCCGCTAGTAGGGGGGCAGGCTGTCTATAGGCCTCTAAGGTGTATAAATAACACCTTACGAGCGTCCGAGCCCCCCTATCCAGTCTTATAACGAGCCGGTATACCTATAGTATATAGATTCGTTAGTCTATATATAAGGGCTAATACCGGCACTCCCCTCCTACTATATCTTAGCATCCTTCACCCTACTAAGTAGCGCGCGGCTTACCCGCCCACCCATAGATGTCCGCGCGTATTACGCTGCTTTCGGGCCTGATAAGATATGCAAATAATACCTTACGAGCGTCCGAGCCCCCCTATCCAGTCTCATAAAGAGCCGGTATGCCTGTAGTACATAGAGAGTTACATAACTATTTCTTTCTATCGAGAGGAGAAGGGTCTATATGTATCCTCTAGATATACTTAGAAACTCTATTTGACGCTCGTAAGTTAGCGTCATACTAGTTTCTAATGTTTGAAACACTCTATACAGTAGTATAGAGCGAAGGAATGCTAAAAAAGAGTACTATAGCTAGCTATACAGCGTCTATAGAGGTCGTATAGATAGTCTAAGTTTTATTCTACTATAGAGGTCTAGTATACTACTTAAACCTCGTAGCTAGTAGGTAAGATAGAAGGTAGGTAGGTAAGTAGATAGGTAAAGAGTAGGAAGGTAGATTAATATAGAATAAGTTACTTGTCTATCTCTCTTCTTAGAGAAGAAAGAGGTCTCTATATATTCTCTAGACATCTTCCTGAATTCTTCTACTCGCCTCTAAGATAGAGTATAGCTAATCTACGATATCTTCTATATACATTTCCGATGCCTCTACCTCTTTATCTAATTATAGATTTTTAGCTAGGTTACTCTAGATAGGTACTAGATACCTAATTAGGTAAATTAGGTATCTAGTAGTAGAGACGCCTCTAGACATTAGCTAAGTAGTACCTCTAGCTCTTCTTAGAGATCTAGTAATATATTTTTACTACTAGATAAGTACTAAATACCTAAGTGGGCTATAGATAACATTAGAGCTACTACCTAAGTAGCTATATTAGACCTTTGGAATATTATCTATATTCTAATAGTACAAGCTACCTACTAGATTTAGGAAAAGTTTCTCTAGTAGAACTAGTCTTAATTCGTTCTATCTATAGGTATTAAAACTCCTAGATCTTTATTAGGGGTAGTAATATCTCTTAATTAGGAGGATAATTAGAGATATAACTACGTTATAAGGGTTCTTAGTAGTAGAATTTCTTTATAGTACTAAGTATTTACTTTCTTTATTTCTATTTATAACTAAGAAAGAGGACACACTTATCGTGTCTTACTACATATTCGACTAGTATTACTTATCTGCCCCTAAGCGATTGTAGGCGTCGTCCGACTATAGAGAAGGCTAGAGAAGCAGCCTAGGTAACCTAGCCTAAATACTCTACTTATAGTAGTCCCTCTACTACGATAGGTAAGTAGAGATAGAAGTAGCCTAGCTTACGTATAGTTTATTACTACATACGCCTAGAGTAGGCCTCTACTTCTAGTAATAGTAAGGTCGCTTATAAAGACCCAGTTAAGTAAAGCCTACAATCGCTTCTTTAAGGGTTCTAGATCTAGCTAGACTAGCCTATCTCTATTTAAGATCGAATCCTTCTATATCTACGAGTGTATCTTAATTATAAGTTTAGGTAGACTAGTAATACTAGTCGGACGTATAGAAAGACACAATATATACTTCTTCTTCTTCTTCTTCCCTTTTCTTCTTCTCTCTCTTCTCTTTCTTATTTTTCTTATATTAGGTAGACTCGACCTATTATAAGAGATAACTCGTAGATAAGGTCTAAGATAACTATAGAAGCGTACTCTAGTCTTCTAAATATAGTAACGTACCTTCTATATTATAGCGTAGCTATTTCTCTAACGCTATGAAGCTATTCTTATAAATAGTAAGAGCCAACTATACTAACTCTATAGAGATAGTAATTAGAACGATTTTACTCTAGATATTAATTTTTCTACTTGTATAAGGGTAGTACTTTCCTTCTATAAGGTATAGAGACTCTATATTATAGCTAATAGCGTAGCTATTACCTAAGGTAGTAGATAGATAGAGAAGTAGGTAAGTAAGAAGCTAGTGGATATATAAGTAGTAGAAAGACTTACTTATCTATCTCTAACCTTAGAGTAGAGAGAGGTATTTTTATATCCTCTAGATATATGCCTAAGCGCTATTACCTGCTTCTTAGTAATATTATACCTGTCTCTAATAGTACGTAGGCGTGTTCTTAATACCTTAACTTATAATCTAATCGTATATTTCTAACCTTTTCTATATAGGTACTAGATACCTTAAATAAGTATCTAGTAGTAGGGCCGCCCTTGTATACTATCTAGACAGTGTCCCTAGCTCTGCCTAGAGCTCTAGTAGTGTCTTCCTACTAGGAGCAAGTACTTAATACCTAATAAGACTATCGAAGAGTATAGTTACCCTTCTACTAGCTATCTTAGACCTTTCGAACAACCTAATATTCTAATATCTATAGTAGATATTTAGACATGTTATAATACGCTACTATATAGCTTATATTAGTACGACTTATTCGGATCTATACTAAGGTTTATAATTTGGACAGAGGTAGATAGATACTACCTATAGTACTAAATAAGAAATATAACTTATAGGTAGCTAGAAAGTATAGACAGCCTACTCTCTAGCTAGTAGCTAGGCTAACTCTTAAAACTAGATAATTAGACACACTTGTAAGTACTACTACTAGACGACTAGGTCTTCTTAAAAACTCTCTAGAAACTAACTTTAAGTATTATAGAGTACTGAGTAGGATGCCTTCTATATCGCTTTATTACTACGCTCTATATATAGGGATTTAAAGAATGTCTAGAGCTTAAATCCTATTTTGTCTAAAACGCCTAAGATAAGATTTAGAATGAAACTTCTACTAAGTATTCGATATAATATTAGTTTGTTTTTAACTATTAGTGATAATAGACGTAGAGTTCGTACTCTAGTAAATAATAATTCTTCGCTCTTAAAGTACTATATTATTTAAGGGAATATTCAATATATATAGAGTAATTAGAAGCTACGCTATAGATTAACTTACTATCTAGAGTAGGAGCGACTAGTAAGAAAGACTAGCCAGTCTTTAGTTACGAACGGAAGTAAATAATAGAGACTATAGTAGCTACTCGTTTTATTTTAAATATTACTAGAGGTAGATTTACTTAGTAGAGTAAAGGATACTAAGTTATAGTCGAAGAGAGGTACTAGTATCTAGCTCTTATATATAGACTAACTAAATTTAATATCGTAATTAATAATTCTATAGTCTAGCTCTACTCTCTTTACTAGTACTAATATACTCTTAACTAGCGTATAACTAATAGTATCGCGCTCTAGAGATATATAGTTATTACCTAATAGCTCTCTTAGGTATAAATTATCGTAAATCTATTATTATCTAGTATATAATTTTAGACCTAGACCTAGTTATAATATTCCTCTAGATAAGAAATATTCTTAAGTACTAAAAGAGCTACTAAGAGGTAGGCATACCATTAGGTAGTCCAATTAGCTATCTAGTACCTACTAGTAGTAATAAAACACTACTAAAGTACTACGTAGAGCTAGGGGGCTTACCTAGCTATTAATAAGGGGCGACCTTACTATTATATACCTAATTAGGTATTTGGTACCTATGTGAGCAATCTAGCTAGAAATACACGGTTAGGTTAGAGAGAAAGAATATCAAACACACGCCTAGAATGTATTAGAGACTACTATAGTTTTGCTATCTATATACTTATCTAATAGGGCTTTAGAATATATCTAGAGGATATATAGATACTTCTCTCTACTCTTAGAGAAGGGATAGATAAGTAAGTCTTCCTACTACTAATCTATCTATTTACTCTCTACTTACCTATTAATATACCTATATACTACCTTAGCTACTAGCTACTATACTAGCTATACTATCTTACTAATATAGTATAATCTACCTTATAATACTTCTTAGTCTTATCTAGAGCGATTTAATCTAGTATAGAATATTAAGTAGTACTACTCTACTACTTAGAAAGTATCCTAGAGTAACGAGGGCTATACTAGCTATTACGAATAAGCGTATTACTCGCCTTTTAAGTAAGGGTATTATACGTATATTCATACCCTTTAATATAGAGTAGATAGTTTTAGGTATACTAGATACGCTATCTTCTCTTTTCCAACTACGTATAACTAGCTAGCGACTTCTCCTATTCTAGTAGCTATCTAGAGATATTAAAAAACACTATATCTTTGTATATAGTATAGTAACGATCTTAGGTCTAATAGTAGAAAAGGATAAAGAACTTAGACGTATAAGTACTACCCCTTTAGTACTATTAAAGAAGGATAGTTCTTAAATAACTAAGGTATAGTAGAGAGATTAACTAGCCTGTATATAGACTCTACATATATATAGTAGACTATAGTACGCTATACCTCTAGATATCTTGTAAAACTCTATTATACGTCTACTATCTATTATATATACTCGTTACTAATATAAAAGAATCCCTATTTGTTTAACTCCTAGATACTCAAAAGTTGTATCTCTATATACTCTTATAAGCTCTTTTATATAAGTAGCTTTTAGAGTATATATACTATCATACCTAATATATATACTCTTAAAAGCTAGAATCTACTTCTTTTTATGTCTCGCAACCTGTGCTTGCCCCTCGACAATCGTGCGCATCCCACGCTTCCAATATGTGCCGAGCATATTCGCTATCGCTCTTATGCCAAGATCTGCCTCTGTGTTAGCACAATGACTATCTAACCCTATACCATTAATGCTTACGTATCGAGCCCGGCGATTCGCTGTTCATCTCTCGTCAGGGACCAGACCACTTATTCAAGGGAGCACTTGTCGCTCAGCTCTATCAACTCGGCCATTGAGCTCTGAAGCAACGCTTGCAGCTGCTCGAAGGCCACTTTTGCCTGTACACGAGCTTCGTCCGCAGCGTCTGACTGATTCACTTGCAGCAAGCTAAGCTGCGTCTTGACATCCTTCCAGACCTTCACGCGATCAGGCTTTGGTACGGCCGGAGCGGGTTGAGCTTGCAAGAAACTCTGAAGGGCAGCACGCTGTTCTGGAGGAGCTGCATCGATGGCAACTTGAAGTTGCTGAGCCCAGTCACCCTTTCCGCCATGTCCTTCTTGGGGCTGAGCGTTGATCCCGGAAGTGATTGCAGATCGAAGGACCTTGCACTGACCGGTCGAAGCACGAAGCATCTTCTCGTCGGCAAGGTGCGAGGTGATTTGATCCAGCATTACTTGATGGGCTTGTTGAGCCACGGCAGCGGGAGCGTTCCGCCCAGCGAGGCCGGACATGGCGACTGGCTTGCTCGTCATCTCGATCGGTGATGCAGGCACGCGACCGACGAGGGTCGTGTCAGCGCAAAGCTGTGAAGCGTGCAACATGGCAAACATCCACAGATGGCCATCGATCTGCTCGGGAGCCTTCAGATCAAGTGCGACAAGGATGGCACGGGCAGCGACACATCCAGCCTGGTCGATAGAGGCGTTGCGACGGCCAGCTTCGGTGGTGGTGTCCCAGTGTCGCAAGGTGGAGAGAGCAGTCTTTGAGATGGTCATGCGTCGGTCACCAGTGGCCTGCCGGTCAGATCTCTTGGGGCTTGGTCGAGCAGCCTGAAGCAGGCCATGAAAGCGAGAGCTGAGCCGCCAGAGGTTATCCGTGGTGTTGTCTCCATCTTCTTTTTCCAATTCATCCACACCCTCATCTTCGTACACGAGGACATCGTTCAGTATTTGAGGAGGGCAGTGTATCTTGAGCGAGTCCGTGTGCGGATGGTACTCGCCAAGGACCCAGCATCCTCCGGTACAGAGGACAAGACAGACAGGGCGAGCAGGCCTGGAAGAATCGCACAATACGGCAGTTACATCTCTGTAGTCAGGGTCTGGTCGGCACATCTTAAGCACCCCCGAAGCTGCAGCGGCGGGGACGAAGAAGTCAAAGGAGTCTTGCATTATCTTGGAGAGATCGAACGCCTCGGCTGGGAGACCCTCGAAGGCCGACTCGAAGGGAGAGGGCATGGCATGTTCCTCGCTGGTGCGCGCACGCTTCGCGCACTGCAAGTCGTCGTCGCTGGTGGGATTGATGCGGCGTTTGCTCATCGTGGGACTATCGGTGCCGGACAGGAGAGACGCGTGATGTTGCGTGAGGTCACTGGTGTCGGCAGGATGCAGTACTGTGGTATCTTTGTTGGCGCAGATAGGAGGACGAGTGCCAGCGCATGTGGAAGTGTGTGAGCTTTTGAAGCGTGATGAGCCTGCGATGGTCCTAGAGGTGAAGTCAAACCGCGTGGGAGTCGCGCTGCGGGGTGGCTCGGTAGCCGGGCGGGAGAAGCCGCGGCCAGCCACGGCAGTCTTGGCATTGGCTGCGGCTGGCGGAGGAGTCGGTGACGGAGGCGGCAGGTCGTCTTGCTGCGAGGGAAATGCCGGAGAGTAGTCGTGGTCCAAGAACTGGAAGTCGTCGTCCATGTCCAAGCCGCCGTCGAAAGGACTCCTCGTGTCCTTGTCCTCGTGGTCTTCATCGTTGGAGTTCTTGTCCTCGTCCGACTCCGAGTTGTCATCCACGTCATCTTCCGCCGGTCCATCATCCTCCATATCGTCATCGTCAGAGTGCCCGCCTGCCGACTTCTGCAGAGGAGGGTCGCCATTTCTCGATGCGGGAGATGTATCCCGCTGGGAGGCTGTGGGCTCATAAGCCTCATCCTCAGTCGCCTGTTGCGCGCTCTTTCCCTCAACTCTCTCCCTCGTCGGGGTTGTCTTTTTCCACTGCTTCTGGACCGCGTGTATTTTCGGCTCGTTCATCCCATCTTTTGTACATGACTCAATCGCCATGCGGGCGTGACGAGGCATCACTGCTTGCTGGCCGCTCTTGCTCTTGTCGTTCCTCTGCGCTGCTTGAATGCGTTCGACGGCGGATTCGAATGAGAGTTCGGGGATGGAGGCGAGCTCGCGGAGGGCGGCGAGGAATTGATGGCTCATGCAGGCATCCATGCCGAAGATGGCATACACCGTGAGCATGTTGAAGTTGTCCGATTTGATCCAAGGATTGCGATTCGGATCCATGAGCATCTTGCGGGTCGAATTGACTCGGCGATTAGCTCCGACGCCACGATCAAGTGCGGCCTGCAGTACTCGTAGAGTCGGGTGGGACTCCAAAGGCATAAACTCGTCGAGGAGCGCGGAGCGTACTGCTGATGCGCATGTCTTGTACTGTAGCCAGTACTTGCGGAACAGCTGCAGCTGCTTATTGGTGTCTGACTCCGATATGAGCTCGTTGGATGCCATCAGAACCCCAAGGCTCAATTCCATCGTCTTGGAGTCGATAAGAGGCCTGCGCGTCGTACCGTGCTCTTCGTTTGCATCGTCGGACGGTGTCAGTCGTGGTGCGTCATCCAAGACAAGGTCCGGTGGCTGTTTGTCGCGGACTTCAGAGTCGTTATGTCTGCTGTCGGTCGACGTAGGGACTTCGGAGCTCTTGCCGGCTCGGCAAGCGCCACTCCCGGAAGTCTCCTCCATCTCATCGTCCTCATCTGGATCTGAGTCATCGGACAGGCAATGCAGATACTGCCATCTCAGCGCCGCCGCGGCAGCATCCCGCCGAGCCTCCTGTGAAGAAGCTTCTAAGGATGCCATTTTCAGGCCTCGGTTCGAAGTCTGTGAATGTGTTCAAATGACAAAATAGTAGTGTTATCTCGTGCGCAAGTTGTTGGTGTTTGATTTATCTAGAGAGCCCTGAGTTGAGGGGGAGCTAAGCACTGGGACAAACGAGCTCGATACAGCGCGGGTACGTCCGCTGCGCGATCAGATCTCGATGCCCCGGAACGCCGAGCCGAAGCCCTATTTCTACGCCGAACGTCACATTTACAGCGACTGCTCACTTCACCTAGATCATATAGGAACTGCGCTCAACTCCGACGCTTTCCACGACACGTCCATCGGAGAAGTAACGTATTGTCCGAGTAAAAGGAGGTAAGTTAGTGTTTTTGCAGTGCCGACGTCCAGTCCGTCAAATGCCAGCCTAAGTTGCCTCGCTTACTATTACAGAGTCCACTTTCGCGTGCTAGGTGATTCCTCCGAGGAATATTGCCTAACGCCGGACTTCGCGAGCCCAACACTATCGTCTTTAAGATCCATACTTTTTGCAATCTGCAACGCTCCGGGACACTGGCATACGCGAACCAGCACCTTTTTCCGCGGTGCAGCTCTAGCGCTGTCCCGAGCGGCTGTTTCTCCCGATCTCGATGCCTCGACCGGTCGCCCTTTTCTCAATGGCTGGAAGAGCTAATACACCAGCCATAGGGCTTGCCTGGGCCAGGCCTTACGCACGCGATCTCAAAGCTGGAACCACTGGCACAAACAAACGCTGCGAGGGCAGCAGCGTTCCTCCCAAATGTACGCACTCCGCCGATACGACGATTGATCTACATGAACCAAGAAAGGTGCTTATCTCAGCAGTGATGGCGCACCGGGAAGCTCCAAGTCGTTCGTCTTGCGCCCTCTACTACAGCAGACGTGGACCAAGCGGAGTGACTGCTAAAAGCTAGCCGTGCCTTGTGAAAAGCTCCGCATGGCTCCAATGCACTCATCTCGAGCAATCTCGCATACAAGGTGGGGACCTTCGGAACCGACATGGCCACAAACGGGCACACACTAATTATCGACGAGGTCAGCCAGTCTCCGCCTGGCTATATCGACTACTGCCTCAGTCGTACTGATCGGTGACCTCACATAAGGCTCATACTATAAGCCCAACGATGACAGCACTCTGAACGCCTCATCCGGCGAAGCGGATTATTCCTCATGATCTCATCCTCTGTTGACAAGTAGCGGCTTTTCAGCAACAGTTCTCTCCGCTCCGTGGCCAGTGCCATCGTCTTGCAGACCCGCTCAATCAATCCCAGCTTCGTTCAGATACTTCAACGCCCAGACCCGGCCTATCCTGTCACGGTCGCGTCAGAGACCGAGTAGAGCCTCCTCGCTAGCCAAGGTCACAACGCCTTCACCTTTGGCACTGTGTAGGGTCAGCATTTGGAGAAACTCTCTATTCAGATCTCCGTGTCGAACGCCACGGCCTGAATGCTTGTTTACACGCGGCCATTTCGTCAGCGGCATGTGTCGCTTAAACGTCGGCGTTACCTTCGTCATGACCGGCGACGTCCAAACTGCCCGAGACTTGAGCAGCGACCCTCTTCTTGCTAGGCAGAGCCGACTTCGCTGTCAAGACTGATTTCGAGATGAGCTGCGTGGCTTCTCTCTGATTCTGAGGTGCAGGACCACCCCGAGCATGACTTGGACTGCGAGCCCGGCCCTCCCGCTTCTGCCTTCGCCGAGCCTGAAGAGTCCATCGGGTGCTCCTTCGGCGATCCTGTTAAGCGTGAGGCTCGCGAGAGGTACGACGCAGACGCCCAAAGCTACCGATTTGATGACACGCCCTAGTTCATAAGCACTCGACATGCCCACAACCTGGAATCGCTTTTCCCCCGGCAGCGCTTATCTGATCTGGTCACCTATCGCCGCACTATAGAGGAATGTCTGCGCCTTGCGTCCGCTTCTGTTAACGCGCAGCGGTCCGATGCTCGACGTTTCGCAGGACCGATCCTTTTCGATAGCGCGTGCCGCACGACTGGCATCAATCCCGAAGAGATATTCACTTTCGACTCGGATCTCTTCGCTTCTTGCATTCTGGAGATTGAGTTCGTCAAGCTCACAAAGACGACACAGGCCACTCTGCTTAACAATGCAGATCTCGCGTGGACCCCGACGGGCGACATACCTTTGTCCGCATTTTTATTAAGTCCTAGCTCAAGGTCAGGTTGGAAACACAACGGTCTCCCTTCAAAGCCGGTCAGACCCTTTCCTCGTTCCGAGACTCCATAATCTTGGTAAGCGGAGCAACGACGCACTACTTGACTACCGTCGCAGAGCGCCTTTACCGCCCAGGCTGGTTTCATAACGCCGCCCACAGCCCCCGCTCTCTCTTAGCGTATGGTGACGAGGCATCGGAAGAGCGTTCCACGCAACAAGACGAACGAGTACATCTCTTTTTACCAAGGCCAGACGGGCTCGTAAGGCGCTTGCGCTTGAGACCGCCAAAAACTGTGCCTTTAGCATTCCCGACCGCGTTCTGGACTATTACCTCGAGCTGAAGATCGACCTCGCCTGTCAGTTCGGTGAGCTGGCCGTGATGCCTGTCACAGGTGAGCACCCCATATTGCTATTCAACAGCGACTTCAACGCGGCTCTGGTAGGCTGCCAGTTCTCCTTTGACCACGACGGCCCCATCGCCATCGCGGGCGATGACCTGGCTGTTAACGTCGGTCCACCTAAGCATCTAGGCTGGTCAGCTCTCGAAAAGTATCTCGCCACGGTGGCCAAATCTGAAACCGTTCGCGCCGTTCAGTTACTCTATTGGCCACTGAAACCCAACGGCGGCATCAAGGAGCCGCGCGTTATGTTCACCAAGCTAATAATCGCGGGGATACGGAGGAAGAATACAAGGTGCTTTCGAGCCGTCTCTCAAGGCCGCCGTCTGCTACTATGTGGGCGAGCACGTCTACGATTATCTCGCAAGCATCTGGCGTTGCGTCCTGTTTGGCCGACTGCTGTCTGGTCCTTTGTCTCTACCTCCAACCCTGGCGTGCAGTCTGTACGGCCAGCGAAACGGCGGCGAATGATATCGCAATGCCGGAACAGCCTCCATCAACTGCGATGAAACCCAGTCTAAGGTTTCAGTTCACAGCGACGTGGACGAGCTCAAGTGAGACGGGGTCGAGCCAAGCGGCTCTCCACAGGCCTTCCATATCGTTAGAGGCTTTGAAACTTTGTCTCTGCAAGTGAGCCACAGGTCTCAACTCAATATTCGATTCTGGTTGGTAACAATATAGCAAGCGGGTGCTGCTCGGAACCTGGCCCCTTGACCCAGTCCAGTACCCTGGACCTGGTTAGTAATTCGACAGAGTAAGACGCACAAGCTACAAGATCTCACACGCACAGAAACGACGAGATTTACCCTTCACAGACGGGGAAGGCAGAATATAGGAGGAAAATCTTGCGGGAGCCTTTGCGAGCAGAAGCATAATGCTAGACTAACTCTATCGATCTAATAAGTCTGACTCTTGCACCTGCATGGGCGTCCGGGACTATATCCTCGGCTCACTAAGCTAGAAAAACCGATAGGTACTTGTAAGGGCTGCGATGCCAAGTAGACCCAGTACAAGTACATGTGAGGGCTGCAATGCCAAGCAGACCCAGTATTAATACGAGACAGGTCCCACAGGGTGTCGTTCATTTTGCGTGGCATCGCTACGCTCTCTCAAATCTCTGCGTCCATCTTGCCACGCACGAGGCTAAGCTCTCTACAGCATCTCTATCGGTATCACAGCCGCCGGGCAACATTCTCGAATATTTCAAACCTCCACTGGGCCCGCCGGCATTCATTCGCATCCTTGATGTGTTTGTCAACCCTGTGACTCGGGATGATTGAGAAGAAAGACATCGTGCGACTTAGACTGAATAAGTGATCGCCGTGAGGCTCAATTCGGTTCTGAGTGGTTGCCGGCGGATTGGGACATCGCCGCAATCACACTTCAGTCGCAATCGTCTGCGCACATCCTGCGCGGGTGATCTTGAGCTCAGGACGGAGATGAAAATCATAGCGACCGCCGATCTGAAGCCACTCGATGCCGCACCCAGTGTCACAGCATCGTGAGCTGGCGAAAGCGATGACTGCCCCTTGGAAACCGGGAGAAACATCACTCCGCCCGGATGCGATCCTCTCCGCGCTTCAGTCTATTGCGACATTAGGATTGAGCTTCCACTGCACTTGTAAGTGAAAGCCTCTCCCCTGCACAACTTTTTTAACCCGGCTCTTCTCTCCGACCATACTCCTACTCTCGACTTCTTTCACTCCGTCACAGCGAGTCGGCAACTACTCTTCGATCTTCTCCTCTATTCCGCCACGCACTAGACAGACCCATCCTTACTGCGCTCACCCAAAAGAATCGGCTCGAGATAAGTTGGTCCTTCTCTAGCATAAGCCGAGGCTTCAACTATGCATTACAGCCCCGGCAACCCCCGTACCTAATAATACGCTATTTACTATACGAGCCTCCTTCAAAGCTGCCCTTGCGTGCTATGGATAGCAGCTTCGGACACACGTTAACGCATACTCGCGGATATCTTCCGCCGACTCTTTCAATGGAGACACACGGCTCCCTATCTTTGTTAGAGATCTTCTCTACCACACGAGACTCTATGCTTTAAAGGAGGTTTCAACGGAGGGCGAATGAAGATCGAAACACGGATTGCAGTACAAAGCCTCCTACCGCGAGTTGCTTCGGATAAAGAACACTTCTAACTGACGACCTGATCCTACTCATCCTATTCGAGGCTAACATCTAACCGCCGGAAAAGGCTCGACGGACCTTATTACATGGTTTCCCTGGAAGAGCAAAGCTTCCCAATAGCAGACCTCTAACAAATCCGCTGAGCTACACTAGTCTGCAGGTAGCGGCGAAGAAGCGCTTTCTGCCGAGACATTCCACTAAGGACCCGAAATTATGGCATTGACGTAGAGACTGGAAGTAGCCAAAGATCTGCTAAGCATGAACGCTGGAACCTTGTGTACGTGATGGGAATTCTTCGCATTACTAGCACTCTAATTCGGGTGCTGATAGTTCTGGCCCGGGTCTTTCGGAGCCCGAAAAAAGCTCGCACGTAACATCAAACACCCGGCAATGTTCCTGGTCACGAAATCGAAGTACCGGAGAAAGATAAGCTAGCAGTATCGTAGAATTGGTAAAACCTCTGCGGCAAATATAGCTTCGACGAGAGACAGATTGCGCTAATAATATGCAAGGATTCGCAGAAAACCAACGTCAAGGGTGAAGATATAAGGATTTTCGTATCAAAGATGTTACGAAAGCGAATGCGTTCGGTCCAGTCCTGCTCGCTTCGTTACAAGAATCGTTATTAGCTGGAAGACATTGTACACCTTTCGTAACCACTTCCAATCAATACGCACTCTCCAATTCGACGCAGTTAATAGATGCGGAGCAATTAGGAGGAACGTTAACGAAGATAGGCGTTTTCGCCCGGAGGCTAGTTTGTATGGAATGAAGCGTGCACTTATTATACTCCGAGAAGATAAAAGTCCACATATCCGCGCTCAATCGATCGGATTTGGAGCGACTACTTAGAAACCTCGACGCCTAAGCCCCGTATACAGAACCTCGGAATCGAGGACCTGTCTTTAACCTACGTACGAGGAAAGACAAACCGCTGGCCTGGGCGCCGAATTGACGCCCTGCAACCACATGCTCTCGCTTGTTCCCCCTCGTTATCGACGCGAACTATTATAGTCACAATAGTCTGAAAGCCGTAGCGAGCCATAGTAGACATGATCAAGGCTACCAGGTGTAGTATAGCAGTACCAGGTACGGTTATAGAAACTTTTGCTACCTGTCTATTAGATTGGTCTGGTACCTAACCTAGTTACCATTCCTACCAGGTATTGCCAGGTGTAGTTAGCACTTAGAAAGTTGAGTACAGCATCTCGCCTACAGATGGACGCCGCCACAGACGACTATTACTAACGGCCACTTGGAACTGTAACAAGTCACGATTGCTTGGTTCCTTTCCTATCGGCTTCCGGATCTCTGTGCTGCGAGAGTATGGGAGCTGGACCGACCGACCCCCCTGGTTGATACTAATCGTTAGTATCGGATTGCTTTAAGGCGCGGCCGAACTCCAAAGAGACCTTTTCGGATCGGGTTATAAGGTGACCTATGAATTGGCAATGAAACAAAAGCCGTCAATCGAGGCGGTCTCTTTCGCATCCCAAGAATCCTGCCGTTCCTCCTTGGCCTCGGTCGGGCTTCCACGTATATCGCGCATAGGTGTCGGCATCAGAAACTCAATGCTGGGCAGACCGCCGTGGCATCAAGCGGCTTGTTAGACTTTATTCCAGGAGTGATTATCGCTGATCTCGACCTTAACCCAATGAAGCGCGCCGAATTGATACATGTGAGTTTTCGTGAACAAAGAACGTACAGGCACAATGACATTGTACAGTCTCGCAACAATCCAGCCAGCATTCCAGGTCCTGAAACAATGGGATTGTTAGTATAAGATCTTAGCGATGTCTCGGTGCCCTCCTCGGCTCTCTATTCTTCGTCTACAGGTCCGCGCGAAGGATTTGGTAACCAGTAGCAGGAGAGAAGACATCTTCTCACTATTATAGCATGTCCATCGCGTCTTTACAACAACAAAGGGTCAATTTAGCAGGAGAAGCCGCATAAGCCGCATGCCACTACGGTACTCTGCCTTAATTACCTGCGATATTGCTATTTGACACCTCGCGGGACCATGTCAACCACGCGACGGTCGGTAGGACGGAGCTCGAGAACGAAATTACGTGTGGATATCCAGGTCGAATTCGAAGTACTAGGCGATGACACTCACTATGCCCTCGCAGAGCTCGACCCCATCGCCTGCGAGCGCCGTGTTGATACCCATTCGCAGTGCAGTCACCCTGAATCCCCTTAATGCTTTTCCCAATACGCTCGAATGAAGCCACTTTATCGAAACGAACACAGAGGGCGAAACCTTTGGCTCGGTTCTTGGCCTCGATTTCGGTAGAAGAAGGTATAACAGCCTTGCGGTATCACGCTTGACTGTTCAACTGCTCGGAACTGCATCCCGAGACATCTATACACCAAGGAATATCTCGGCTGCTTAGCCGTACTTCGACCTCCCCTGCCTGACTGATCGAGACGATGGATCTTGTCCTCTATTCGAAGGGAGGGTATCTACACATCTCCTCGATCGACCATGAGCCGACTCGATCCGCCGCAGTCTCATCTCTTTGCCCCAAAGTGTTGGAATTTTCGATAATATTGCCCAGCTTTCCGGCCTCCTGCGCCGTGGAAAGACGAGCAGTATGCTTCCATCATACGCACAACATCCTCGGTGCTGCTTCAGCGGTTCAGTGCCAACTTATTCCTTTGCTCTATCGCGAACGAGCGATAACGGCAGAAGAAGGTCCCCCGTGAGATCGGCAAGCCGATTTTCCGTGAGATGAGATGGAAGCGATCTTATTCCTACAACATATCCGCGCTGTGCCTGTCTACAGACAGCACGATCCGAAGACCACCGTAGCGTCGAGTCATGAGCACTGGCTGAGACGACGAACGACTGCTGGCAAGCTTGATCCTCACCTCGTAGCGTGCAAGGTACTGAAAAATTGTCCGCGGCCCAACGAGAAGGTCATTTGGACACTGCGAAGGTATTTCGACTGCAGCAACTTCAATGGAGATGAGACCTCGCGCTTTGTCCATTGACGCATCTCCATGTAGCTCTGTCCCATTCTCGGAGCCTTATGGTAATCTCTTCTTTCGGCAGTGAGACGACAACATCACCATGTCCATTCTATTGTGGGAGCGAGGGAGCCGAGGGTCGCAGCCGCTGCGGCTCTTAAATAGCTCCGCACAGTAGACGGAGCCGCGTCCACAAGACCACATTACCCCTGACCAACGCGTTGGATGCCTTCCTCCACAGTAGAACAGAATCTCGTGTGCGTGGAGAGAACACCGTTCCAGCGCCGATCAGACGGCACGAAAACTCCAATGAGAACCGAAAGCCCGTAGGAACCAGGTGAAAAGGATGTGTGAGGATAGCACACCCCCCTTTATCAATATAACTCCTAAGACTTCCTCACCCAATGCTTCCAACAGAATTTCTCGCCAAAGGGCACTGTGCACAAAAGCTACCAGAGGGAGAAAGAAATGAACAAATCGTCTCGCAGACCAATTGCCAAGGAGATCAATGCCGTAGCTTGCCGTCTAATGCATAGATTGAGCCCAGCTTACTAGCATCTCTTGGGCGTTTCGAGAGAACAGTCGACATCACACGATCGGCCAGGGTGGAAACGCAGAGAATAAATTGCTGAATGTGAAGGACGGCAAGGGTGTCAGGTCCGTTAGGCGGCGTGCTCGCGGAAACTCCAAAGTGATTCGAGGCCTGCATATTTGAGCGCCATTGGGAGAAGTTAACGAAGGAAATGTAGGGTTGTTTTTGTACGAAGATCTTGATCTGCAATTCCCACTCGAAGCTTTGGAAAGACCTGGAAAGACCTGCGATGTTTTGTGATACATGTCTGGACTCCCAGCGCTTGGACTGTTCCACTGTTGCTACCGCATTTCCATCGGCTTTACACACTTATCTGGCAAAGGCGTAACAGATCTCCCAACAAGTCTCTTCCGTTGACAGCCTCCTCCGCTTCAAGATACCGCGAGCCACCAACTGCCTCCACGACGCTGTCGAAGTGCTCCAGACATTTGCGCTGCCTTCTCGAGCTGGACTGGGACCTACATCGTGCGTTCCTGAATAAGAGAGCGTCGTACCAGAGGAACAACAGCGGCGTTGTCTCGTGTTCGTGCTGCTGTACCACATTGAGCCCCAAGACGTGGATGAGGAAGAAGAGCTCTTCCAGACTGGTCGCCACGTCTGAATGCCATCGTCTCTGCTCTCTGTGGCGCAAGGCCTCCAGCCCAGGGTCCATTTCGGCCAAGTAATCGGGCGGCGTGCTGCAGACTGGCGGGTAGGGGCAGAAGCTCGAGGAGTCGTTGGATGCCTCCCAGGAATGAACCGCAACAGCGTAGAAGGCCTGCGATTTCGGGTTTGGGAAGAGCTGACACATTGCCTCAATTGCCCGACACCGCGTGAGCTGGTGGTACGGATGGAGTATAGTCTGCACTGGAAGAGGACGGGCTTGAATAAGATGTACTGGAAAGCAAACCAGTAGCGAAGCCAGAGCCCAGGTGATGACCAGTCCTATCAGAAGGTTCGCCAGATGGCCGAGGCAAAATGGCTGCGAGACATCCTCTCTATATTCTTTCGTATGGTTGGAGATATCACCGAGACAAGCTTCTGTGTGGATATAGGCACTTTTGGATTCCGTTTCACACAATGCGGCTGGGCTGCGTTTCGGAGGCGTGATACCGGAGGCCGCGAAACGAATGTCCTCCAATTGGGTGCTGTCCACACTGATAGCTGATTCTTGAGACGACATGCTGGTGTCTCGGAGACTGTCCATTCCGCCTGGTTTCCAGTTCGCTCTCTGCGCTGGCATCTTCCGGCTCTTCTTTCGACTTCTCCCCCGGGACGCGCTCCTCCCTCCATTGTGATCGGACTCCTCGTTGCTTTGCAATACCTCATGCCCATTGACGGTCTGAGTACCACGATCTTCTTGCAATGTCTTCTCGTCCACGCCGCACCTCGGTCTCGATCGGAGCCTGCTCACTTCATCCGTCAAACTCTCTAACAGTCCCGCATTCCGGTGGTGCTCGGCCCGTAACAGGCTGTTTGACTGCTGCTCCCGCGACAGCTTCTCAGCAGCCGTTCTTGACTCCTCCCCAATCTGCTTTTGTGATTGATGCAGCCTCTCGATGTATTCTTCCCGTGCCTCCGTCCTTCTGGCAAGCGATGATTCCCGCTTACGCGAAGAACGAAGCTCCTGCTGAAGCTCGTCTATCGTACTATCGCGCTCCGTAAGCTTCTCGTATAGATCCGTCGTCTCTTCATCTCTGTCGCTGGGAGATGATCGAGCGGCGCGAAACGACAGTGTGGGCGAAGAAGGTTGATACAGTCGATGCGGGGGTGGTGTCGCCATCTCCACGGAATGGTCCATCTGCTGTCGACGACGGCAGTGAAGTGGGCAGAGCCCAGCGATGAAGAGGGCATATCGGCTGATTCCCAGTCGTGCCCCAGAAGCAAGTAACAAAAGTGTATCAAAGCACGCAATGCGATGCCTTCTAACGGCGGTGAGCTGCTTCTTAGAAAATCTGCTTAGTTATACTGCGGGCGGCATTCGGCCCGTTGATGACTACACACGACTGTTTTCGATCCATCCGTTGTCTTATCCGCACACGATACTACTAGAAGAAACTAAGGAGCTCCGGATATACCTTAAACGACAAATACTAAAGTAACGGAATAGCGGCGTATTAGGGAATCGAGATTTTAGCTTAGTACGTAAATATTCTAGTACTCTATAGGGTAATTCTTATTACGTAGATATACCTATAGAATTTTAACGTCGCCGACATAGAGAAGGACCCGGCCTAGCTACGTACGTAACCCGGCTACGTATACGACCTAGCTACGTACGCGTACGTAGCCTACGCGAATACTACTATAGTATCCTAAGGCTCTTAAAAGATATTTTCGTTCTAAAAGTATATCTTAGAAAGGCGCGTAAATCTCTACACATGGTATCACAGCGATCCCACACGCAACGAATGCAGCGATCCCAAGCGTAACGAATGCAGCCATGTGCAATTAGTCTTTACGATACATTGGACAAGGCCTCCGTCAGTGGCAGGGTTCAGGTTGCCCCAACGATGAATAGACGGGATGGAGGAAGTCGTGAGAAGATGAGCAAAGCCGTGAGAGTGCGGAAACGCCAGTAGTAGGGAGCAGCTCATGCTTTTGATGCTTCTGGGTGCTTTTGCTGCGTCTCATCGGTTGGGTCTGCCTGGAGAGATGGATGCGCTTCCTTTCCCACTGAACAAGGACATCGGAGCTCCGCTCTACAACCAAACTTCTTCGCAACCAGACAGGTACCAGGTCAGGACTTCTGATACTGATTCAACTTGCCACCAGGACCCCAATTTCCCGGCCCGATCGATACTCTACGACGCCATGCAGCCACTGAGCACTAACGCGGAGCACTGCAGCATGGGCGACTTGTACAACGTCACTCGCGTCGCCAACAACGATACTCCTCCTCCACCGCCACCACCAGCCTCTCAAGAGCCTTCAGCCGCCGCTCAAGACATTCCTCCGCCGCCACCTGCCGGATTTGTCGGCCAGAAAGATGCGAACATGGAGCCAGAGCGCCAGGAAGATGAAGCTCAGGAGGAAGCTGAATGTGAGGTGGAAGCGATACTGGCATCGCGAGGCTTGAACTTTCTGTCCACTGGCGGAATACTAAAAGTCGAATACTGTGTCAAGTGGGTTGATGATGACCAGCCGACCTGGGAGCCCGCAGAGAATTTACTCCGCAACGCCGCGGATGTCGTCGCAGACTTCCATCACCACCTGCCGGGAAGTATCAGACCGGCTGGTTACCAGTCACCGCGAGGATGGTCTCCTTTACCCTACTACTTCCAACCTGGTCTGAAGCTCGCTAGCAGCAGAATCAAAGTCAAACGCAATGAGAGAAAGTCGTGGGGTATCTGGGGGATCTTGAAGGAGGACGAGGATGGGGCGAGGGTCTTGATCGCATGGAAAGATGATTCAAAGACGGGAGAGAGGTTCAAGCCTTCCTACGAGTCATGGGACAAGGTGAATATTATGGGTCAGGTGGAGTGGCTCAGCTGGAAGTCGAAGACTAGACTCTCAGAGCGCGCAGAGTGGCAATGCGAGGGCTATCCGGATGATTGAAGGAGGAAAGGTTGATCCATGATGCAGTTGACCGGAACTGGTTCATCGCGTATACGACAGTCACCGCCTTCTCCGTGGAGGGGAACCTCAATTGCTTCCCGACACCAACTCGACCTTCCATTGATAACCATTCGCTTTTCTGGATCCTTTCGCAGAGCATCTCCTTCGCTTCATCAGTCCTTCGCCCACTCTTCTCTATCTCCTCAACATCCTGGACCGAGATATCTGCCGGTCCGCCGAATCGATGCTTTCTCCAATTGCTCTCGGATCATTTCGCCCGACAGATGAGATCTTCTCGCTAGCAAACACTCGAGCAAACCGTATCAGAAGACGCCGAATCAGATGCCGGGGGAGTCTGGCCATATCGCAACGACAACCAAAGTGGCAGCTCTTGCCATGTCGTTAGCCAATCGCGTACGGCTATGATACCACTTTCGGTCTTCATCTCTGCTTAAGTTTTCGGAATTCCTCCCATGACTGCTGGACGAAGGGGCAGTATTGCCACCCAGAGCAATAAAGCTACCTCACTCAGATATTCGCGAAATATCAGGCCATGTCAAAGCCATGGCTTTCATCTCATTATTGTCAATTTACCACCGCACAAGCTCGACAGTATGGTCTGCGCCCTTGTGATGAGTAAGTCGGGAGTTCTCTGTACTGAGATGAGCTCAGACTCGATACGCACACTCTGAAATCGTTTTCGAGTACGTTCTTTACTATTTCCAAGTTCGGAATCTCTGCCAAGTCCTCGTGGTACAAATTACCTATTATCTCCAGTCTATCCTGACATCTTGAAGCCCGAGCAGCAGTTTCATGGCTTATCAAATTAACAATCGCCATAGTGGATATTCCGCTCCATTGGTTCTTCCGCTATCATCTCTCCTTCACACTTTCCCCCTTATTGTCTCTCCCTCGGACGCGTCCCCACCGCAAGCCAGCTCCTCCCTTTCCTCTTACACTTGCACCTCTTTCATCTTCCTCCATTCCCTCTCCGCTGGCTTGTTTACCAAACGCTTCGGCTCCCACGAAGGCGGCGAGCGACCCACCCAGTCGATAAGGTATTCCCCACCATTCTCGCCGATGATGCCATTGATCAGATACTGCGGCTTTGCTTTTCGTCGGGTGAAGAGTTCCGATTTCTTCTTCTTCTTCCGTGGCTTCTTTGGAAGACCGGTGCTAGAGCTCGACTGCGAATGGTTCGCGCTGCCGGTATCCTCGTCTGCTCCCTCTCCCTCCTCTGCCGGCTCGGAGTTGGTCATCTGAGTGTCGCTGTGAAGGGTGCGCGAAGAGCTGGTATTGTCCGCAATGTCCATCTCCTCGTCAAGAGTCATGTAGGCATCCATATCAGAATGTTGCCAAGAATTGGAGTCGTCAGCCTGAATCGTATCTACCGAGCCCGAGAGCGCCGGTGGAGGAGTGTGGGATGGGGTCTCATCGTGGGCAGCGTATGGAGACTCCAGTGAAGAGTTTACAAGCTTTGAACCACCCTCGAGACTCGAAGGGAAGTCATCAGAAGTTGGCAAATCTGGGATGACATGTCGCGCTTGCGCCGCATCCTTGCGGAACCGCGCTGTTGGAGGCAAGGACGGCAGACCAAGCGGGAGCGGATATGCTTTGGGCCAGAGGAGTGTCTGTCCAGGATGTCCATCGTGCCATATCTTGAGGACCTTGTCGCAGGTGTCCTGATCGACTTCCATGCCGTCCCATACTAGCTTCAGCAGAGCGAACAGGCCATAGTTGTCAGCACGTTTCTCCAGCTTGGTGGGCCGACCGGTCGCATTCGTTACGAAGATCTGTTCCGCCTTGTTGATCATTATTGTGTTGTTGTTCGTCTTGTTGTTGGTGGTCATTTTGGCCATAAGCGGTTCCTGAAGAAGGAGGGTGATGCGTATATATAAGAAACCATGGTCACCTCGCGGATGTCTTCACACGCCCCTCTGCGTATCGCCTTCACGCATATTCCTTCACGCATATCCCTTCACGCGCCCATTCACGGAAATGTGCCAGTTCATTCCCTTTCGTGTCAACGCTTTTTTTCTCGTACCGGCATTCTTCACGCTCCGCCTCCCGTGTCTCTTCACGCATCTCCGAACTTTGTTCACACGCACGTCCACGGCGAGGTCACAGATGATGCAACCCGAAATCTTGTTTATCCACGCATCCAGTCACGGGAATGTTCCAGACCATTCACGCTGCTCGCCGGAGTGAGAGAAGCTTGGAAAAATTCTGGAAGACTCCCATCAAGGCTCTGGGACGACAGGCGCGCATGCTCTTTTGTCTTTTGCAGTGGCTATTACGCAGTGATTCTGCTGCGCGTGGAGATGCTGACAGCAACAAAGAAGTGGGTTCTGGTCGTCATTGTCTGGGGAAAGGCGCGCGAGCCATTACGTCCGCTTCGATGGTGGGAGAACATGGCGCTGTGACCATGGCCTTTGTATCCTCGTATCAATGCGCGCGACTCCGTAGACGTCGTCGTTAATGAGCCTTTCGCGGCGCGTGATGCCGATGTGCGCTTCAAATCCCATAAGGACGCGGTCCGCCAAGATCATCTCCCACAGGATGCGGACGCTAAGGGTGGAGTGGGCAACGCCCTTATGGCGTGTTCGCTGTTCCTCCATAAGATCGCACCGGAAGCACTCGTCTGCCTGCAGCATTCGAAGAGGGATTCGGTTGTAATCGGCAATCTCGGGATATTCAACGCGATTCGAGCGGAATAGAACGTGCTTCGCGCGGTAGGCAACGTTCACGCTCACCGCGACCAGGGCTGTGCTGGGAGTCCTTGAGGGCCTTGGATAGACAGGCCTTGCGAGCCCTTCGCGCCTTCTTGTCCTATTTGGCGAAGCTCACGTAGTCTCGGTCGACCTAAACAGGCTTCAGGTGGTCGGGCTTCTTTGTTGCGGCTTGAGATTCTTGTGCGAGGTCTGGCAGCGCGGTTTCTGCAACACTCGACGACTCATGGCGATTGCATATTATCAAGGCAAGTTGCCGTAAGCCGGGCCATCACTCGTTGGCTTTTCGCTGTGAGCCGGTATAGGCTTCTATTTCCTTCCTTCCCTGAGCCCACACTTCAGTTATACCTAATCTCGTCTCGATCTCCGCCCGCATCGTATTCCGAATTACTGGCGTCCATATGGCACAATCTGGGGATAGTCATACAGCCGCAATCGAAGCATTCGTATCATGCCGTCTCCTCCCAGCTCACCAGAGCGATACCTCCGTTGATGCGAGTACTTGAGTACGGAGGCAATGGCGAGGTTGTGCCAGAGTGGTGTGGGCGCTCCAGAAATTATCGAGACTCTCCACGAAAGGCTGAGGCAAGACCAAGACAAAGCCCCCCCGCACATGCCCGATTTTCTGAGACCACGCGAAGGCGGCGGCATATTTCCCGGGGTACGCCATAGACGAAGGTGAGACGGATCGGTTCAGGCGGAGAAGGCGCACCTACCCGTTGAAACCCTTCGCCATGTTCGGTCCCAAATCAAATTATCGATCAAGATGTTGCAGAAAGATTCATATTCGAACGTCCGTCCATTTCTTCTTGCCATCACGAGGCTCGTGCGTCTCAGCTGGACTCTTTCCCCGACGCAAGGTACTCGGGGTCTCCAGAGCACGGGCAGACAGCAGCAGCGGCCACACAGGACAATGCGCGCGTCCAAAATTGTCGAGAAGAGTACTTTGGCTCCAAGGTAGCCCCATCGAGCATGTTTGGTCGGCTTCCGGACAAGCACTGAAGGGCATGAAGTACGACTCGCATCGCTTGGCCCCGATTGAGATTGACGAGGAGCGCTCGAGGGGCGAACATCCTGGAATGCCCAGCACAGAGCTCTTGCATTCCCATGCGACAAATTATCGACGGCTGAGAGGAGAGACCTGCCACGTTGTAGACAAGGCCTCCAAAAGAGATACTGTCAGCTCAGCCCTCAGACGTCAGACCAGCAGATGAACAAAGTGATCGGTAATACGAGGGCTACCGTGGCTCCACATCATGGCCAGGCGATCCGTCACGCTGTCCCGGCGAGTCGAACGTTGCCGCGCACCGCAAGAGGCAATGGATAGGGGCATGTCGAGGTTTAGAAGAATCTCGTCAAGCCCCTCACAGCCGCGAAGAAAAGGATGGCGTCAGCGTTGTGGCCTTCCCCGTGCATATCAGTATCGCCTCGACGACGGGACTACATATTGGAGGGCGCCTGTCGTTCGCGACATCACAGATCGCAGATGTGGCGACACCCGAGTCGACCTTACTGACGGATATGTCCAAGCATGATCTGAAAATCTATATCCAGGCAGAATGTATCGACAGAAAACCTAGAAGAGCATTCCAGGACCAGTCAATGCCGACTATGAGTATTGAATAGCACCCGCCCGGTGATTGTCCTTCCGGCGCCAGCTTCGTCTCCACTATTCCAGCGTAGATACTCTCCGTGTCTCTAGAGATGCGTTCAAGCCAAGAGCCGGTAGTCTAGACCTCGCTGCTGGCAGGTCACTAGCGGGAGTACTGTATCGGAGAAGAGTGATTCGTGTCTTGGGTCGCAGGATATCAGAAATTCGTTGAACGTCCCTGCAATGCAGTCACCTATGTTTGTGAATCGCGCCCATCTCACTGGTGGCGAGGTCAACTTTAAGCTGAACAAAATTGTGCACCAGCGGAGTCGATTGATGTATTCCTCTTCCGAAATGAAATGAGCGGTGCTCGCGGCCGGCCTTCTGCAAGAGCTGGACCCATGGCCTTCTCCTGATGCTCTTTGTCACCCCTAGATGTTCGAGCAGAGTGTCTTCGTACCAACTTATTATGCAATCTCTCCTGTGAAGAGATTGCATGATACGCAAAGTAAGTTCACTGACGAACATTCCGCCTGATGCGCGCCATCAGCCCCGGCGGTAGAATGTGTGGAGTGGTCGTCGGCAGCATCTCAACGCGTGTACTGAATGTAGAGCAGAGTACGTTTCACTTCGTATGTCGAGTACCCAGTCAGAAGTGCGCCAGATAAAGGGGCTGCGGTACCGTATTAGATGGCTGATGCTGCTGTTCGGAAGTTCTCGACGAGAGTTTCCATGATGAATTTGACAAGATTGACACCGATATATCTTGATCCGCCGCATACACCAAGGCAGCATTGTCCAGTGACATCTCCAGAGCCACGAAATACGGGCTTCGCGGCAAATCAGCATGGGATCAAGGTTCCTACCACAACTGAGGAACCATCGACAGGGTAGACATGAACATGAAGGTCGCTGAAGCAGCGAAGGCTTCAGACAGCTTTGGTCGATGGCAAGCAGATCCTTGAAAGCTTGACTGCTCACAATGCCTGGCCTGAACCCGGAGATGCTGACATTAGCCGAGCTGTCAGCGACAGTCAAGTCGAAGACATGGAAGAGAGACCTCCGAGATCGTAAACGATGCCTTGTTCATTATTCCGTAACAAGAGTGTCCGGTGACGAGATCGATTCCGGTCCGGAGAAGCGTCTGTGCGTCTCGAGATTTTCCGAAACGTAGGCTCGGCGAAAATGCTGCGGAACGATGCCAGAATACCAGGGTCGGATCAAAGAGCTATCTGCGCCATCCCGATGGCTACTTAGTCAAACAAATTGCTCGGCGGAGAAGCCACAGTGTCATAACAGACCATCGGTGGAGAAGTCACTGTATCATCTCGATGCTAGCCGTAGGAGACGCAGGCGCGGCGAAACGGTCGTACCACTAAGACACGAGTTTGCTTCACGGGAGAAAAAGACTGTAGTACTTTGACGTGTTCTCTGGCAAAGGAGAAGTTCGAACGCCAAGACAGTGCGCTAATTCTGCCGTGAAGGAGTGTCGATTCCGCTGCGATGCTTGGAACAAGCCTGTGGTCGGTAAAGAAACGTGTTTCAGGGCGGCGAGCTGGATCTCTTGATATTAGCTGTTTTTCCGGTCCGCATGAAAAGGATTCCAGACAACGGAGCTGTAGCGTCACGGCAGAGGAGCAGCCGCTGTTAACCTGCGTCTGTACTGCCTCGGTGAGCATGCTACGATGTCATGAGGCAGTGTTGATCCCAATCTGCTGAGATTGTGTTTACCTCCTCGACGCTCGGCGTCTAGACAGATGTCGTCCTCGCCAGTGTCTGTGCCTTCCGCATTTCGATCTCCATCGGACGCCATCTACTTCGTCAAAAGCGCGCTCGGATACGAAAGAAGACGTGGTATCACGGCAGACTGCCAGCTCCACTGTAAAGAAGTGTCTGTAGAATCTCCATGCTTTACGCCTGGTCGCTCCTCATCTTCACACCCATCCCCGCGCCGCAGATCCCTTCCGTCTGCTAGATGCTGCTGCCTTGGCTATAGTTGCGAGGATCGCCGCAGTGTTCGCCTTTGGAATCTGCTTGGTGGCGCCCACTGTGGCTGATGGGTTCTCTTCCTTGGAAGCTGTTGGCATTCCCGCCTCTTGAGCCTGCCAGGTGGTGGCGATGTCCCCATGTGTCTGGCAGCTCTTCATCTCTGCAGTTGTGTCCGCGCTGCTATGCCCTTGAACATGCTGGGTGGTGCTCTTTGTGCCTAGGTCTTCTTCTTCTGCCTTGAGCCTCTCATTTGGATTCGCGTGGTAGGGCTTCTCGTGCCTTCGAAGCAGTCGAAAGGGAAGTCGGGGGCTGTCTGCTGGATAGTGACAATCTGTGCATACGTCGATATTCTACGAGTGGGTGATCTTCGTCGTCGTGACTGTATACGGGCCCGTCGTCTGGACATGCTTAGTGATGCTCGTTACGCCTAAGAGACGGGCAGAAATGCGCACTAGCTTCGAGCCGACAGCAGTCTGGAAAGTCGGCGTACCGGCATCGGAGGCGGGCCGCGGGCGGGTAGCGCAGAGGGCGACAAGGCGGA